ATATATATATATATATATATTGAATTCTTATTTTGTATTTATATACATATTTATAGTATAATTAATATTGATCTTTATAATATAATATTTTCTTTATATAAGTTGATTCTTTTATAAAAAAATCGTGGGCCTCTAGACCCCGCTGTTGAGGAATATTTCTTACCCGTGCATCACACGGGGTTCGTACTAGTTTAATGGCATGAGAACTCTCAATTTGGCCAATTATTGCGTGAGAAAATTATGAGGATTGGGAGGATTTAATTGGTGAGAAGTTTGGATGAAGTGAGACTCTTTAATGCATGGAAGAAACCAAATAATTAGGTGTGTCAAGGCATTTGTGTAATAATCCCTCAAAAAAACGCGTGAGGTAAGATTTTATTTTTTTCTAAATGGGACATATGTCTCATTTCTATTGAATAATAAATTTTATATATCATCTTATATAAATTAAATTATCACTCATATTTATATTAAATTATAAAAATAAAAATACTAAAATTCATAATTTTTCATTCTATACAAATAGAGACCACATTTGATATGTTTTAGAACATAATTAATTTATCACTTTTCATAATTAATTTATCTTATTGGAAGATGAAGACGCAAATCCATAATAAGATCAACATGTTACATAGTAAGATGAACATGTTTTAGAATAAGATGGACGTGTTACATATTTTGTTACATATTTGAACTAAGATGAACATGTTATTGAATACGATGAAGATGTTACAAACTGAGATGAACATGTTATAAAATAAGATGCACATGTATTATTTCATTCTGCAATCCGTAACATGTTCATCGTATTTGATAACATATTCATCTTATTATGTAACATGTTCATATTATGTCAGTATAATAAATTGATTACAAAAAAATTAATGTTCAAACACCTATCAAATGTGGTTTTTATTAAAAAGAATTAAAAATTTTGAATTTTGGTACTTTTATTTTTTTTATTTTAGTATAAATCATTAATGATATTTTAATTTACCTAATATGTCTCATTTTCAATTATAAAAAAAAGGAAAGTGACATGTACTACAATCTCTCATTTTGTTGGGTTTTTTGGGGTGAATGGCGCGTGCATAATTGCCGCGTGCATAATTGCCCTGACACACCTTGCTAGGTGTGCCAAACACAGCACTGGTATTTGTGCCAATAGCATGAGCTCATTCATAAAAGGGAAGGAAATGACCTACTTTTCCTGCTCTGCAACAACACAGTCCTTCAAAATGGCAAGTGCCAGCCCATCCATCCATTTTCGAAATTGGTATTACCTGCAAGGCGCAAGCTATGCTCCGCGGAACTATGTAAATACATTACTCTAGTGCGTGCACACACACACACACACACACACACACACACACTCTGAGAGAGCGAGGATGGAGAGAGAAGGAGAAGCAGAGTCTAAAATGGCTGCAACGGTAAACAACACACACTCACTGAGCGTACTCAAGCCGCTGGTCAAGGGCTGCCTCACCGGATGCTATCATACTTTCTTTGTACACTGCAATCGATCGATATTCCTTCATCTCCACCACTTTGTTCACCGTCATAGCGGGGATTCACGCAGGCTGCCGCCGCTGCCTGATCTGAGGATGGCCGCCGCCAGGGTTTCTTCATCTCTCTCAACACAACTTCTTGGTTTATTGTTTAGATAATATCATTGTGATTTTTTGTGATCCCATTACTTTACTACTTCACAAAATTTGTGCAGCATAATTAAGTGTGGGGTTCTGTTACTTTCAGCTCTTTGTAATGTTTATCATTGTGTGAATAATGGCTGCCTTTCTACCTTGAACTCAGTCCACGCGGATGAGCTTTATTAGTGGAGTTACCCACACGCCCCTTTCACTTGGATTGTTCGAGTAAGTACTCCGAATTCAGCTACCATGCTTTCGTCTTGTTGCATCACACTTGGATTACTTTGCTTCAAGGCAAAACTTTAATGTTGTGATAAATTTAGTTGGGGTAAATTATCTTTTTAAAATTGGGGGTTGTATCATTTAGTTGCAGTTTAGAATAATTTCTGGTGCCGCAGGAACCATAGTACGTGCTAGCAGTATGAAGTTTATGAGCATAAGCAGTATGAAACTTATGAGCATTATTATAAACTTTACAAAAGAGCATAAACGGATCTTCAACTTTCATTAGGAAAATCATAGTTTTTTGGGCTTCACTCACGGTATTGTTTTGGATGTTGCAATTTTAGTTATGGGGGCTGTAGGCATTCTACCGACCATAACATTACGAACCATGACATGAATATTGTTTCTGCCCCTTTCCTTATAGGATTTTCAGAAATAAACTAGGAATCACGAACCATGGAAGGCCCCTATCCCTCTATCAAGAAGCTTGTTGCGGGCTCGCCTCTGGCTCAATTGCTGCCTTGTTTGTCCAGCCTCTCCATTTAGCATCCAAGCAGATCCCAGCAGAGAGTTATACTCTTACAAACTTGTTTGCCAAGTTTCATCACATAGTTACACATGAAGGGCCGCTGACCTTCTGGAGGGGCTCGGCCCTTTCTGTAATCTCGCTGACAACAGCAAATATGGGGATGCTGACATCATACAAACGGAGCCGAGACTATCTGTTGGAGTCGAGAGGCCTCTCCAAATGGAAAGCAGAACTAAGTAAATTATTATCCCTATAAACTACATAGTTCGGGAGGTTTAGTATATGTTTTTCAATTTGTAACTGCACGTGTGACATTTATGTCAACAAAGTCAAACTGGTAATCGTCCTCTTTAATTCGTACTGATGTTTTTTCTTATTAGATTCAGAAAGAAACCAATCATCTTAAAAAAAATATAAAATTGCACACATATAGCCGCTGTAGCAGTTTAATGGCTCCGTATTTGGGATTTACTGGTATATTTTCTTTTTCAATGATGATGATTCAGGTGCAAGTATCATATCTGGATTCTCTGCAGCTGCTTGTAGCTATCCATGGATGTACGTCCAGGGAATCAAGATTGCGGTGCAAAACAGACATGCTGCTGGTGATAAGCATGCTTACAGAAAGATTCCTCTTTTTCTTGCTCGAATTCTCACTCCAAACAACGGCATCAAATTCTACGTCAGCTTCCTCAGTCATTTTCGACGTTGGGCTGCGTTCTGCATGGTATATAGCTTCCCCCAGTTCATTCATGGATTTATGAACACGTAGATTTAATATATTTACAAAAACTACTACCCTTAAAACAAAAGCAAGTCCTGAAATTATAAAATACCCCTTAGAGACTTTTGCTCTGCTTTAACTTAGATGAGTAACTGTAACGTTGTAAAGATAAGGGGTCATTTGTAGTAGTACTATGTGAAGGGGATTCTACATTAACCGTCTGTTTTCCTTTTACATACACCAAACCTCTCAATGATTGTTGTTGCATTCATCTTGTATTGAATCTGATTACTCCTATAATGGGTGATTTTTCAGTTGCAGTGGTGGATATATGAGCGAATCCACTTTGGGGATGACAGTACATGAGCTTCCTTGTACTGCCAACATAGCCACTTTCAAAAGATTTAGGCTTTCATATTTCAACCCCACTTGAAATGGCAACCATTTTGAGATGTAAGGAGACCTCTGCGCACTTTCCCAAACATTGCTGCTTACATTCTGTGCTAAAACTTGGACACATTTGTTTGGAATATTTCTACTAGATGAAAGCTAAGGTTATTCTATAATTTCTTTAATGATGTCACTGGTCTTATTGTGTAACGCCCCACTTTAATTTTAAAGAATTTTCGGACTTTCTAAAAATCAAGATAACATTTTCGAAATTCATTTTTCGAAATCACCGATAACATGGGCATTATCTAACATTTCAAAACATTGTTCAAGTCATATATGAACTCACGGGGATTCATTACCTGGTTTTTCACATGGATTTCATTATCCCAACCAAATAACTCAACATGATATTCAAATAAACACATCACCATGAATATCCAAATGAACATGTTCCATAAAGAACGATCTAACTTATAGGGTTTCAAAACAAATCCATAATCCCAATATTTTCAAAACTCCAAGGTTTGAAAGCAAATCAACATGTCTATAAAACCAAAGCGACATGTTCATAAGACCAAATCAACATGTTCATAAAACAATGCGGAAGCAAATAATCACAAGGACCAACCACTCGTCTTATATATATAATGACATAATTGTATGGTCACAACATGAATATAGATCAATCAATTATGTCACATCTCCTATTCACATAATAACATTACTCCTGTATACACATCTTTCATTAGCCACGGAAGGGGATTCATTACCCAACGGTGGGAGTACATGTCGTGGCCTCAACCCACGACACGGCCTTTCATTAGGACATAAGGAGATCGCCTCACAAGGGCATTGTATTACATCGACGGGGACAACCGTACCGACGACCGAAACAACACACATCGATAGGCTACATGGTTCACATGCATACATTGATCATACCAACCCAACAAGACATAAATAATTTACGACATAGAAATTCTTTAATACAACCCACATGGATACCGAAGTAGCAAAATTCACACAATGGCAGGAACTTAGGTCGAGGGCTCAACTCGTCGAACCTACGTTAATCAAGATAGTCCTATCAACATACTATCCCGACACTTAGAATCACATACAACAACATTCACTTAGCCGAAACATTATCGACTAAGTGATCCGTGGAATTCCTAATGGAGTTTGGAAACTTTGGCTTAACTTTCTAGACTCGATAAACCAATTAAATATCATTTAGAACATAGATAGCACGAAAAACAAAGTGACGGGTCAAAAGGAAGTCAAACGGGTCGGGGAAAAGCCAAAATGGCGCTCGGTTGGGTGCTGCCGGGGTGTGCTGGCACGGGCCTAAGCACTGGCTGGGCGCTGGGTGCTGGGGCTGCTGGCAGGGCCCGGGAAAAACAGGCAAGCAACAATGACTACCAAATCTTTTTAAAATGTACTCGTGTGTTTTCAACGAAACTTTGACACATCAAAATGGACTAAAAAATACACAAGTACTACAGAGATTGACCATTAAAACCCATTTTAACCCCGAGAACTAATTTTTGCAAAATAACATTTCAAATATGAAGTTCTTAGTTCCATAGGCAAACCTTCAACACGAAACAATCAGAATTCTATTTTTACTAACTTTTATTGCATTTTTGAGCTCTCTTCTTTTGGGGTATTAGCCACCGGTGACCGTACTTTCGTAAAAGCACACATTCTACAGCTTCAGGTCTCAACGAGCCACGTCAAATCTACCTAACAAATAGACGACTGCGTACTGTAGTTAGTCTGTTTCGTTGGTCCGATCCTACTTCCTTCTTTCTTTTCTTTCTTATGTGTGAAAAAATAGGGGAAAGAAGAAAGTGTAGTAAAAAAGGCTAAGCTACTAAAGCCCCAAAAATCCTGACTTTTCTTCTCTTATTGAATTATTTGTACATCTTTAGTAGCCTGTAACGCCCCACTTTTATTTACCGAAAATCAGAATAAATTTTTCGAATTTATACAAAAAAACAATATTTGAGACGTTACTCTTTTCACAACAATAATCAATACTCGTCAATTTCTCAATACTCGGCAATTTTCAATACTCATAATCAACAATAAAATCCCAATAATGCAATAATAATCCAATAATGATCTAAGGAAATAATCCCTAACAATATTCCAATATTCCAATACTAGAAAACAATAATCTATAATAATGCAATAATATCAAAGTTTAGTTCAAAGCGGAAGCATTTATTCAAATTAAAGACCACCACTCGCATCCCTTCCGTCGTGCCGCATAAACTAACCTGCATCCATGAAGAGCAGGTGGGGATGAGCACAATA